TCTAGCATCACTGCTTCTCTGGATGATGGGGTCCTGCATTCCACTCTTCTCCCTTGATGGGTCCCAAGGACCTCTGCTCCTGGACTGCAAAATCAATCACTCCCCTCCTTTTGTTATAAAATGTCAGTCTCATATATTTTTGGTGGGACCAGTAAGTGTACAAATTTTAAGGCAGTTTGGACATATCTATTAAAACCACAAGTGGGTACGTCATTGCTATAAAATCATAAAAACCTTTATTTTAAAGCTTCAAAATATGAGGCTGTTGTTTGTATATACTCTCCATCAAAGTCTGAACACTTTTAAAGATAGTGTTTCTATCTCTCTAACCTGAGCCCATAAAATGTCTCAGAAACCCTATATAGGTTGCTATGAGTCATAATCAACTTGTTGTTGTTAGGCACTATCGAGTTGGTACTGACTCATAGCGACCCTATGCACAACAGAACAAAACACTGCCGGGTCCTGGGCCAACATCACAATTGTTGGCACACTTGACCCATTGATGCTGTCACTTTACCAATCCATCTCACTGGGGGTCTTTCTTCTTTTTTTTCTCACCCTCTACCTTACCAAATACGATAATCCTTCTCCAGTGACTGGTCCCTCCAGATAATATGTGTGAAGTATGAGAGACAAAGTTTGGTCATCCTGGTCTCCAAGGAGCACTGTGGCTGCTCTTCTTCCAACACAGATCTGTTTGTTCTTTTGACAGCCCATGGCACTTTAAATATTCTCCTCCAACACCATAACTCAAAAAATGCAAAAGCATCAGTTCTTCTATGGTCTTCCTTATTCACTGTTTAGCTTTTGCTTGCATATGAAGTTATTAAAAACACCATGGCTTGGGTCAGGCACACCTTAGTTCTCAAGCTGACATCTTTTCTCTTAAACACCTTAAAAAGGTCTTGTGCAGATTTGCCCAAGAAGTGGTTTGATTTATTGACTGTTGCAAAGGTTGGGAGCAAAGAAGAAGGATCAGTAGTTGGAAAATATGGCCTTGGTGATAGAAATGATGCTGGAGATCACATGATAGAATTCTGCAAAATCAATGATTTGTTCATTTCAGATACCTTCTTTAGCATAAGAGATGACTATACACATGGACCTCGAATACATAGAAATCAAATTGACTACATCTGTGGACAGAGATGATGGAAAAGCTCCATATCATTAGTTAAAACAAGGCCAGGGGCAGATTGTGGAACAGATTATCAATTGCTCATGTGCAAATTCAAACTAAAGAAGAAGAAAATGAAAACAAGTTCATGAGAGACAAAATATGATCTTGAATGTATCCCACCTGAATTTAGAGATGATCTGAAAAACAGATATGATACATTAAACACTAAAGACCGAAGACCAGAAGAGTTGTGGGATGATACCAAGAACATATTACATGAAGAAAGCAAAAAGTCATTAAGAAGACAAGAAAGAAGGAAAAGGTCAAAATGGATGTCAGAAGAGACACTGAAACTTTGCTCTCCAATGTAGAGATGCTAAAGCAAATGGAAGAAATGAGGAGGTACAAGAGCTAAACAGAAAATTTCAAAGATCAGCTCGAGAATAAAGCCAAATATTACTACAAAATGTGCAAAGATCTGGAGTCAGGAAACCAAAAAGGAAGAACACACTCATCAGCATTTTTCAAGTTGGGGGAACTGATGAAAAAAATCAAGCCTCGACTTTTGTAATTGGAAAATTATCTGGGCAAATTATTGAATGATGCAGAAAGCATCAAAAGAAGATGGAAGGGAGTACACAGAGTCACTATACCATAAGGAAATGGTTGATATTCAACTGTTTCAAGAGGTATCATGTGATCAAGAGCCAATGATACTGAAGGAAGATGTCCAAGGTGCATTAAAGGAATTGCCAAAGAACAAAGCACCAGGAATTGATGGAATAAAAATTGAAATCTTTCAAGAAAGTGAGGCGACACTTGAGGCACTCACTCAACTATGCCAAGAAATTTGGAAGACAGCTATCTGGCTGACTGATTGGAAGAGATCCATATTTTTCCCCATTCCAAAGAGAGGTGACCCTCAGAATGTGGAAACTATCAGACAATATCTTTGATATCCCACGTGAGTAAAGTTTTACTAAAAGTAATACAGAAACGGCTGCAATCATACATTGACAAAGAAATTCCAGAGGTTCAAGCTAGATTTAGAAGAGGTCGTGAACGAGGGATATCATTGTTGATGTATGATGGATCTTGGCTGAAAGCAGAGAACATCAGAAAGATGTTTGCCTGTGCTTTATTAACTACGCAAAGGCTTTTGATTTTATGGCTCATGACAAGCTATTGACAACATTGTGAAGTATGAGTATTCCGTAATACTTAATTGTGCTCATGAGGAATCTGTACTTGGACCAAGAGACAGTTGTTCGAACAGAACATGGGAACACTGAATAGTTTAAAATGAAGAAAGGTGTGCAACAGGGTTATTTTCTTTCACCATACGTATTCAACCTGTTTGCTGAGCATATAATCTGAGAAGCTGGGTTATTTGAAGAAAAATGTGGCATCAGGATTGGAGGAAGACTCATTAACTATCTGCAATATGCAGAGGACAACCTTGCTTGCTGAAAGTAAGGAGGACTTAAAATGTTTACTGATGAGGATCAAAGACCACAGCCTTCAGTATGGATTGCATCTCAATGTCAAGAAAGCAAAAATCCTCACCACTGGACCAATAAACAACATTCTTATCAACGGAGAAAAGTTGTCAAGGACTTCGTTCTTCTTGGATCAACTATCAACACTCATGGAGACAGCAGTCAATAAATCAAACGACGCATTACGTTAGGCAAATCTGTTGCACAAGACCTTTTTAAAGTGATGAAGAGCAAAGATGTCAGCTTGAGGACTAAGGTGCGCCTGACACAAGCCATAGTATTTTCAATAACCTCATATGGATGTGAAAGCTGGACAGTGAATAAGGAAGACTGTAGAAGAATTGATGCTTTTGAGTTAATGGTGTGGGAGGAGAATATTGAAAATGCCATGGGCTGCCAAAAGAACCAGCAGATCTGTGTTGGAAGAAGTGCAGCCAGAGTGCTTCTTGAAGGCCAGGATGGCCAAATTTCGTCTCTCATACTTTGGACTTATTGTCAGGAGGGACCAGTCCTTGGAGCTAGATACCATGTTTGGTAGGGTGTAGGGTCAGAGAAAAACAGGAAGACCCCCAGAAGATGGATTGGCAAAGTGGCAGCGTCAATAGGCCTCAAGCGTGGCAACAATAGTGAGGTTTCCCAGGATCGGGCAGTGTTTTGTTCTGCTGTACATAAGGTTGCTATGAGTCGATACCGACTCGATGGCACCTGACAACAATAGCAACCTCCATGGTTGTTGATAATTGATCCAAGAAGAATGAAATCCTTGACAACTTCAGTCTTTTCTCTGTTGATAACAGTGTGGTTAATTGGTGAGGATTTTTGTTTTCTTTACTTCGAGATGTAATCCATACAAAGGAAAGGTGCAAATCACGTTGATGGCAGTGGGGAAATCCTTTCTGAAGAATTCTTTGCTCTTCAGTTTACACCAGGTCAAAACAGCATCCTCAAGGGGACTCAGACCATGTTTCTTTCAAATATTGAATTTTGGGAACACGAAGTCTGAAGGGGAAAAACGATGAAGGCTATAGGGTGGATAGCGTAAGATTTTCCAACGAAATGTTTTCAGGATAGCATTTTTCTGATGGGAAAAATTTCCGTGATGCAACTTTTTTCTGGCATTTTCCACAATGTTTTCTTAAAACCTTCTTCCTAATAAGTTTCTATGAGAAATTGGAAAAAGACAATAGGGTTACCATAGCTGTGATAGTTACTAAAGTTGGGATTTCGCATGACTCGACCTTTTTTCATTTTGGATTGAACATCTTGGTCTCAGCAAGCTTTGGCTATATTAATGCCAAAGCCATTGCAAAAAGATCAGCTAGCTAAAAGAGCTGATCTTTCCATCCGTCTTTTAAGTAAGATGGAAGTTAATGAAGATTATTTTATGGGACAAATCATAACTAGGACTAGTTTTAGAGTTAAAACAATCCAGAGAACAAGGTCTATTCAAAACAATGGTTTCTGAGGGGATCTGAGTGGGTCATTTAAATTCAAGGTAGAGAGGTCAGCTCAGAATGTTATAGTGACTATTTTTTTTGAGTTCCCAAGGCATAGCATAGTCTTCATTGATACCCTTGAAGGACACAGACTCTCTTAAATAAGCACTAGACCACAAGATTGATGTGAAATACAGGGTCTGCTGTTCAAACTCACCAGTAGCTCCTTGGAAACCCTATACAGAGTTGCTGTGACTCAGAACTTACTCAGTGAAACTTACCAACAACACTGCAAGCCAACTTTCATGTAATCGTGGCCTGTCATGTTAGTCAGTAATATCTGAAATTACACCACCAAAAAACAAACAAACAAACAAAAAACTGCCTATTGTGTTGTGCTAAATAAAGTTTACATGGAGCAGAGACCTGGGATCAGAGATCAAATTGTTTGCTTGAACCTATAACAGGAAGGTTTGAACTTTAGTTTACTGGAGGATAAGCATGGGACTTACTTTTTCAAAAAATTAAATCGATTATTTTTTACAAGACGTAGCCTACGTCTTTGAATTCCACAGAGTTACAGAAAATAAATTTTTTCTTTGAGTTACTTACCAATACTAATTATGCTTATGGGTAAGAGTGAGATTTCATCATATTGATGCTAATGAGACCAATGTTTGTTACTTTCAATATGGACACATTTGATGGACCAGGTTGTTTGTTGGTCTTGATATTTGGTTTTTTTTTCTGATACGTTATTTTTATTGTTGTTATTTTCTCAGTAAGGATCAATAGCTCTGAATACTTACACACAAGAAGTCTTAGGTGCTATTGCAAATCTTAAACTGACTTTTTTGTTTGGTTTGACAGTTAAGTAATAGCTTAGGATAATGTTCTCTGTAGAGGACTTAAGTCTGTTGCCTTTTTTCCCTTTATTTGTAGGAACCTACAAGCAGCAATTGGCGCTTACTATGACTTCGAGAGCCCAAACATCACTGTGCCCTCTATGTCCTTTGTTGAAGATGTCACCATAGGAGAAGGAGAGTCGATACCACCAGATACTCAGTTTATAAAAACGTGGAGGATCCAGAATTCTGGTAAATGTATAATGGGCAGTTCTTCTTTGCTCAGTTTTCTTTTCTTTAATAGTTAAATGAAAAGGAAATGTTTTAACTTAATTTATTTGATTATGCAGCTTTGAACTTCTTCTGATACAGGATGTCACATTTTCTTTTAATTCAGAATGACCAAACTACCCTGAATTACCTCCTGCCCTTGTTTAGGAAGAATTTAGGTCTCATCCTTCCAAACCCACCTGTGACTTCACAGCATCTAAACACAATTCGATATTTAGTTGGTAGCAGGACCAGTCCTTTTAGTGGTGGTATTGTCTCCACCTGTACAATCTACTCCATCATTTTATTTCTGCTCTAATTAATCTTCTTGTCATTTCCAGCAGGCTAGAGGAGGTTACATCCTTGAATAGAACAAGGTAGATGGACAGAGCTGGTGAGCATCTGCTCTTTTGAAAGCTCATTATTTTGGAAATACAAAAATAATTCTTTGTGAAATTTCATTGAGATTTCTATCTGAGGAGTTAATAGCACTTTGAAAATTAGGGTAAGAAGTTTGGGTTATTGCTCAGAGTGGAAAAAATAGGAAGACTGACAAAATTGTTTAAAAGATTATTTTGAATACACTAACTTTATTTTCAGAAAAATTAGAAAAAATTAACTATAGTTCTTTGGAAATAGTGTCTGAATTTGTGTCTGGCAACTGCTAATTATCACCTTTTGTATACTGAACTCTCATCTGGTGACTTGTGTCACTTGGATGGGCTAAGAATCTTTTGTCCCATCCTTCACAATTTATACTGCCTATGTGAGATTGTTTGGACTTCACTGTTAAATAAGAAATGTTAGAGACATTCTGAAAGATGTAATGCTAGACAAAAAGGAGTGATTTAGCTAAAAATGTGTGGGTGGGTGTATGTGTGGTGGTGGGGAGGGCGACTCTTACCTGGGAAGGTAATCTGATGTGAGCTCTGGGTTCCGGTAAACCTAGAAAAGCAACCTACTGTTGACTACTTACTTTTCATTTATTTACAGTTGAGCTTTTTATTCTGGGGAAAGACTAGCTAAACCAGCATTCTATATATAAGAGTGAATATTAGTTTAAATTGTTATTCTTAGTCTTTCTAGCATTTAAAAAAAGTCAGTCTCCTTAAGATGGATGTTTAGCATTGTCATTGTCCAAGCACACAACTTCCCTGGTGTTGTAGATGACGTGGGTTATCTGTGGGTTTGTAAAATTGTCAGTCGTTCCATCCCTTTTTGCTACATACTATGCGCATTGGTGGTTTGGGGGATACATAGTAACACAGGAAAATAGCTACATTTTGTATTTTTGTTGAAATTCTTATTTGTTCATTGTCTGATTTTCTTCACTTTGCCTAATTTCTTTCTCACCTTTCTTATTTTTTCCTGCTTTTAACAATACCAGAATAATCTCTTCAGTTTATGTTTTATTCATTAGGCTTCTAATCTAAATTACTAAACACTGTTGTGTTACTAATCAAAAATGCTTTTGAAATCTGTACATGAATTATATTCGAGTGAAGTTTATGTGTCTCCCAAATCACCAATGCATGGAAACATTTTTTACCTCCCCCCAGGCCCTGGTTAACACTGATAAATTTTTGTCTCTATATATTTATTAATTTTAGCTATTTCATATGAGTTGAATCATAAACTCCTTTTGTGTCTTACTTAATTTCCCCCTTTTTTGCTCAGTATTCTGTTTTCCAGATACATCCATGTCATCTCAGAATTTTTCTTTATGGCTAAATTGTATTTATAAACCACGTTTTATTTATCCATTCATCTGTTGGTGGACACTTGGGTTGTTTCCATCTTTGGCCTGTAGCAGTGAACATAGGTGTACAAGTATCTATTTCGGTGTCTGCTTTTAATTCTTTGGGTATATACTTATGAGTGAAATTGCTGTGTTGTATGGTAATTCTGTCATTTCATTAGTGTTTGTAGATACTGGAAGTTACTAAGAGTATTGTTGAACTGTTTAAAATATCGTCTTGTTTCAGGATAACCATTTTATATTTCAGAAAGCCATTTGGCATAGCTACTCACTCATTAGATATTCCTGGGGATAATGGGTGACTTAGAAGGTTGATGTAGTGACTAGAATGTAAAAATAGAACACTTAAAAATATGCCTTTGGCTTGATTTGGAGAAAATCTGTATTGCTAGGTCTGACTGCTTTTCTGCTTACATTTGATGAGTTGGACTCAAATTTAACATAGCCTCTGAGCCTGTAAAGGGGACCTTTTTAAAAAAAATCTGAATATTTAAAAAAAAATTATGAATTTAACTTTTAATAGCATCTAAAATAGGCTGATAAATAGCATTCTCATGTTAAGTGCTTTAGCTGCTCCTTGGAAACCTTATACAGGGTCAGTATCAACTTGATGGCACTTAACAACAACAACAACAAGGATTTAAAAATATATTAGAAGTTTCATTTTAAACAATGTGACATGTACTTTTCTTTAACAAAGCTGTTAGGACAACTCAGGTGCAGTTTCTATCAATTTCATCTGTTGTACTTGAGTACAACAGACAGGAACTATGAAAATAAATTAGACCATAGTAAAATAGAACTGAGATATTGAATGATAAATGCTGAAACCTTTTGTTGCTGTAGAAGTATTGGAAGCTTAGGAAACCTGCATTTGGAGGCCACAGTGGATTTTTTAAACTGTTCCTGTACTTTAAAGATGTGAGTAGATAGAACTCTCTTTACCAATACCCATAGTTCTCACTTACCATACCATGCTTTATTATCAACTATGGTGACTATTAAGCTGAGCATGTTATAACTGTAGTGTTCTGGTGTGCATAGTCGTGATGGTCATCTGAGGGAGTGGCTTAAGCATATCAATAGAGTCCCATGTACTTTTTGAACTGCATCAATGTGGATCTAAAACAAGAGTTGGGAAGAAAACTTACGAAGAACAACGATTTCTCCCATATATCTTGTGACCTGTTAATCTAAAATAGTACATTTTCTATCTTTCTCTTCAGTATGACTATTTCTGTGTTTAAGTGACTTCAAGTTAGTGTCGACTCATAGCAACCCTTTATAAGGTTTCTGAGTAGCAGCTGGTTAGTTTGAATTGCTGACCTTGTGGGTTAACAAGCCAATGCTTATCCTAGAGGGCCATGTTATGGTTATGGTGGTTAGTGGTTGTGTGCCACCAAGTCTGTTCCGACTCATAGTGACCCTGTATAGGGTTTCTGAGGCTGTAAATCTTTATGGGAGCAGAAAATCTTTCTCTTGTGAATGAACTGGTAGATTCAAACTCCTGACCTTGTAGTTAGCAGTCCAGCTCATATTCCACTATGCTACCTACATGTTATGACTATGTTGTTAAGTGCCATTGAGTTGGTGCCAACTCAGTAGGGTTTCCAAGGAGCAGCTGGTGGGTTTGAGCTGCCGACCTTGTAGTTCACAGTCTAGTGCTGATCCTGCAGCACCACACGAAGAGTCCTGTTACAACTATAGAGAAAGAGAATTCTGCTTCATGCACTCATTTATTCAACACATTTTACTATGTTTCAGACACTTTATTATATTTTATTATGTTCCAGTCTACTACTTGTCTTGTCAGTCTGTTGTACTGTTGTGGCTTGTGTGTTGCTGAGATGATGGAAACTATGGCACTGGTATTTTAAATATCAGCAGGGTCTCCATGGTGAACAGGTTTCAGCAAAGCTTCCAGACTAAAACAGACTAAGAAGAAGGAGAGGCAGACAACATCTGAAGTCACTGAACACCGCATGAATAGCAATGGAACATTGTCACAGATAATACTAGAAGTACCTGTCTGTTTGAAAGGCATTCAAAATATGATTGGGGAATAGCTGCCTCCTCAAAGTAGAGTTCACCTTAATCATGTGAATTGAATTGAGCAAAGCTTTTGGGATCTTCATTTGCTGATGAGGTGCAATTTAAAATGAGAAGAAACAGCTACAAACGTCCATTAATTATTGGAGCATGGAATGTATGAAGTTGTGAATCTAGGAAAATTGGAAGTTGTCTAAAATGAAATAGAATGCATAAAAATCTGTATCCTAGGCATTAGTGAGCTGAAATGGACTAGTTGCTACTATTTTGATTCAGACAGTCATAGGGTTTATTATGCCAGGAAAGTCAAATTGAAGAAGAATGGCATCATATTTATCATCAAAAAGAGCATTGCAAGATCTATCTTGAAGTAAGTGCTGTCTGTGATAGTATAATACCCATACACCTGCAAGGAAGATCAGGTAATACCAGTATTATTCAAGTTATGCATCAACCACTAAAACCAGTGATGCTGGAATTGAAGAAATTTTATCAGTTTTCTTCAGTCTGAAATTGATCAAACATGCAATCAGGATGCATTAATAATTACTTGTGATTGGGATACAAAAACTGGAAACAGATGAAGGATTGTTGTTGTTGAGTGCCATTGCATCAGTTCTGACTCATAGCGAGCAACCCTGTATAGGGTTTCCAAGGAGCTCGAACTGCCGATCTTGTTCAAACCAACCTTGCAGCCAACGCATTAACTCACAGCACCACACCAGAATTGTTGTTGTTGTTGTTGTTCTTAAGTGCTGTCAAGTCGATTCCAACCCATGGTGACCCTGTATAGGATTTCCAAGGAGCAGCTGGTGAGCTCGTGTTTGGAAAATATGACCTCTGTAGTTGGAATATATGACCAGTGCTAGAGATTGCATGATATAATCTTGCAAGACCAATGACTTATTAATTGCAAAAACCTTTTTCCAGCAACATTAAAGGTGACTATACACATGGATCTCACCTGATGGAATACATTGGCATCAAATTGACTACATCTTTGGGAAGAGATTAAGAAGAAACTCAGTGTCATCAGCCAAAACAAGATCAGGGGCCACCTGTGAATCAGACCAATCAATTAGTGCTTGTATGCAAGTTCAGGCTGAAACGGAAGAAAATGAAAACAAGTCTATGAGAGTCAAATTATGACCTTGAGTTATCCCACCTAAATTCA